ATAATCTATTTGATGACTGCAGTAAGATATATAGCCCCAGCCAGGTGCTACTTTATAGGATGCCTAAAGTTAGACTTGTGTTCATGGAAATGTATATATCAGCTGTGTTTGCTATGAAAATATTTAGATTAATTAAGATCTTTAGTAATTCAATAAAAAATGGGGGGGGGAACAGTATAGAAAGTAAACATAGATACCAGAGACAGTGTAGGAAGAGAGGGGGAGATGGCAGAGGGTAAGAGATAGGGAATCAAGGATGGGGGGGAAAGCAAAACATACAGGAAAAAAGAAATGGAAAATTATTTATTGACAACAACATGTATGTTGATGTGCTTGATTGAGACAATATACAGTGTACTCTGGATGGAAAATCTCATTTTGTATGCTGTAATGATGTACAGTGAATGAACGTAAACAAATAAATTTAAATTAAAAAAATTTTACAAAAAGCACTTTATCTAGAAAGACTAGATTTTTTATATAAGAACATGTCTGCTATGTACAAATCACTGTTACATAAAATTACAGAAACATAACAATAGTTATAATCTAAGGTATCTTCTAAATATGATCATTTGGCATTGAGACATTGCCTCTTAATTTCCTTCTCTCTGCCTTCAGTAGAACAATAAGGGGACGTGGAATGCTTAGAGCTGGTTGAATACATTCATATCCAATCATTCACAGAGGCTAAGCTTTCTTACAAACTTCAGCACAAAGTGTAAGACATGCTAGTTTCACTAACTACTCTGTCATACATGGGCAAGCTCTTTTAACATCTAGAGACTAGGGGTTGCAAAACTAGGACTTATTTTCCATCATAAATACAATGTACATAGCAAAACAAAACCCGTGAAATACACAGAAAAATGGTGTCTGAAAACATCTAAATATGAACACATTAACATCTAATATTTTTAAAGTCCTTCCCTCCCACCTCCCCCAAAACCATCAAATAAATGCAGACAATTTTATACTCCTCAGAGGTGTTTTAAAATTTCCATTTCTAAAAGATAATATTTTCTATGAATTTTAGTAAACAGCTATTTACAAAGTGATTTTTTACTTACTACATCTATATTTAACAAACATCGGACACTTCTAAACATCCAGATAAACTGGATGTTTCAAGCGCTTAATTTGTGCACTGTATCCATGAAGTCTTGAATAAACCCCACACATGTAACAAAAGCTATAATTTGAAATTGTATAAAATATGAACATTCTGGCTTAGAATCCTTTCCCTTCTATACCAACTCACTGGACAATAATGCTCAAGTTTTCAGAAGACAATCTTTCCTAGGAATTTTAACATAAAATATATAAAGTTTCTTAGATTACTAATTCTACTTTTGTCATCCATTGGCAACTCTTTAACATCTAGGAAGCCTAGAGGTAAATTAGGGCTCACTTGTCCTCTGTATACATCATATACCTAGCAAAGTGAAACACAATGCAGACATAAGGTATAGGGGTTAATCCTGCCTCAGTGTCGCACGCTGGTACAGAGCTCTGTGCACATCCTTCACCCTTGAACTTACACACTCACGTGATATGTATACTCAGGGGTGGTTTGGCCATCCTCCCAGAAAGTGACACTTCATTTGCATTTTAACAAAAAGGTATTTACAAAATGTATTTTATTACCTCTACTCTTAACATATATCAGACACTTTAGAACATCTACAAAGACAGATATTTCAAAAAAAAGTACTTAGTTCTCTCTCTCTCTCTCTCTCTCTCTCTCTCTCTCTCTCTCTCTCTCACACACACACACACACACACACACACACAGGTGAGGAATAAAATGCATATATACAGGGCCAGGAGATGGCATGGTGGTTAAGGCACTGGATTCCTACATGGCTAGCCGTGATTCAAGTCCCAGTCCCCGCCACTTGAAAATCACACTGGGCATGCGTGGGTGTCTAAAGTCCCAAGAAGAGGAGGGAGGAGAAAGGATTGTGGCATGGCCATCACCCCCTGGTGGGTGAGTTCTCGCTTTCATGCTTTCTGTTTCTCTCCAGTAAGCACACATGCCCTATTACAAAAACCTTCTTAAAAATATAGAAAATAATGTTTGTAATGTAAAAAATGTCTTTTAAATATAACCAGTCTCAGGACCAGCAAATGGTGTCATGGTTACATTGTTGGACTCCCACATAG